CATCCCTCGGCGGTCCGTCCCGCCCCCCCGGCACCGCGCTGTGTCCGCAGATAAAGACGAATGCTCGGCGAACAACGGCGGCTGCCAGCACGACTGCGTCAACTCGTGGGGCAGCTACGAGTGCCGCTGCCGCAGCGGCTTCGTGCTGCACGACAACATGCACGACTGCAAGGAGGGTGCGCCGGAACCCCCCGCCCCCCCACCTCCCCAACACCCCGACCCCCCCCGCCCCCCGACGGCGGCCCCGCGGTGCTGAGCGCGCTGTGCCCCCCCAGCCGGCTGCGAGCACAACGTGACGGCGGCGCGGGGCGCCATCCGCAGCCCCAACTGGCCGAGCCGCTACCCCAGCAGGAAGGAGTGCGAGTGGAGCATCGCCACGGCCGCGGGGCACCGCGTGCGCCTGGTACGGAGCGGGGCGCCTGCGCGGGGCCGGGCGGGGCATTGCGGGGCACTGCGGGGCACTGCGGGGCACTGCGGGGCATTGCGGGGCATTGCGGGGCATTGCGGGGCACTGCGGGGCATTGCGGGGCACTGCGGGGCACTGCGGGGCATTGCGGGGCACTGCGGGGCATTGCGGGGCACTGCATGGCAGCACATAGCACTGCATGGCATTGCGGGGCACTGCGGGGCACTGCATGGCATTGCGGGGCATTGCAGGGCAGCATATGGCATTGCATGGTGGTGCATGGCATTGCATGGCAGTACATGGCAGTACATGGCATTGCATGGCAGTACATGGCATTACATGGCAGTGCATGGCAGTACATAGCACTGCATGGCATTGCATGGCATTACATGGCAGTGTATGGCAGTACATGGCATTGCATGGCATTACATGGCAGTACATGGCTTTGCATGGCAGTGCATGGCAGTATATGGCTTTGCATGGCATTGCATGGCTTTGCATGGCAGTGCATGGCATTGCATGGCGGTGCATGGCACTGCATGGCATTGCGTTGCATTGCATGGCATTGCATGGCAGTGCATGGTGGTGCATGGCATTGCATGGCATTGCATGGCATTATATGGCATTGCATGGCATTACATGGCACTGCATTGCACTGTGTGGCACTGCATGACCCTGCGTGGCACTGCATGGCCTGACATGGCACTGCATGGCACTGCATGGCACCGGACGTGTCACACCCATGGCACTGCATGGCACTGCCTGTGTGCCATCCTATGGCACTGCATGTCATGTGTGTCACATCCACGGCACTGCATGGCACCACATGGCTGTGTGGCATTACGTGGTGTCGTGTGGCACCACGTGTCCCCACGTGTGGCCCATCCCACGTCCCCTTGTCCCACCCCATAACCCCACATGTCCCCATCCCGTGTCCCATCCCATAGCCCCACATGTCCCACCCCCTGTCCCATCCTGTGTCCCATCCCATAAGTCCACATGTCCCCACACGTCCCATCCCATAACCCCACATGTCCCCATCCCACATCCCATCCCACGTCCCCGCATGTCCCCATCTTGTGTCCCATCCCATAACCCCACATCCCATCCCCT